TTGCAGGGGGGATAGTGATACATGAACTTTTTTCGGTGGTATCGAGTTTTCTTTAATGCACTTTTCACACACTTGAGTGCCATAAAGACAATCAAACCTTATCAAGTGTATTTATTTGTCAAATTTTTTAGCCAGTCTCTCTAGATCCGCTCTTGCACTGAACTTACAGTAAAACCTTAATTATCAAATTACCGAGAATAAGTAAGTTTATTGATATGTGGTAACACCAATTCAAAACCGACCCAGACAGTCAGTTTAGTCAGTCTAGTCAGTCCTTCTGCGCCTGTTAAATTTATTGTGAATGTTTATGTTGTAGGTTGCGTGTAATAATTGCAGTTCGCGACATTAAAATATTCCAAGCAGTAGGTAAATATACTTAAAATTTATACAAAATCATGAATAAATTTTTAAGTGGGCCTAACCGAGCACTTGATACTAATGAATCATCAACAAGTGTAAAGGCGAGAGTAATTCCAAAAATAAAATCAAGAAAATATTCTCAAGATTACTTAAATTTTGGGTTTACGTTACTGAAGTAAATGAAGAAGAACGGCCTCTATGTATCATTGGCTCAAAAATTTTAGCAGCCGATAGTATGAAACCAAATAACCTTAAAAGACATTTCGAAACGCTTCATAGTGAGTGCACTATTCAACCCCGAGAATTCTTTGAGTTAAAATTAAAATCACATGAAAAACAAAAATCGTTTATAAAAAAACCGTTGACTGTGAATGAAAAAGCTTTACTTGCCTCTTATAAAACCTCCCATCAAATAGCTAGATGTAAAAAGCCTCACCATTGGTGAAGAGCTTATTTTGCCAGCTGCAATTCAAATTGTATTCAAATTGTAGAAACTATGTTTGGAGATAATTTTGCCAAAAAATTGGAGTCTATACCTCTATCAAATGATACTGTTGCCCGTCGAATTTGTGATATAGCTGAAGATGTACAGGATCAGCTACTCGGGAAGTTGCGTGACAAGCTGTTTTCGATTCAGCTTGATGAGGCAACAGATAGCAATAAAGATGCTCATTTTATTGCCTACGTTCGATTTTTGATGGCATATCATTAGTAGAAGAACTACTTTTTTGCAAACCAATAGAATTGAAAGCAACGTCGCTAGCATTATTTGCTATCTTAAACGATTATATAAATGAAGCAAAAATAGAGTTAAAGAATTGCGTCGGAATATGCACAGATGGTGTTCGTGTAATGTCCGGAAAATTTCATAGTCTACAAGCGCTTGTGAAACAAAAGTCTCCAATGTGTATATGGACACACTGTATGATCCACAGAGAAGCTCTGGCTTCCAAAGAAATGTCTCCTGTCCTGAATATTGTGCTAGCAACGGTTGTAACAGTAGTTATTTACATGAAAATGAGACCTTTAACAACCAGAATCTTTTCTGCACTTTGTAAAGACATGGGTGCATTACATTCAGCATTAATATTTTATTGTGAGGCAAGATGGCTATCACGTGGAAAATTTTTACGTGTTTTTGAATTAAGACATGAAATCGCTATTTTTCTAGAGGAAGAAAATAGACCGGAAGCCAAAATGTTTCAAGATAGTTTATTTTTAATGAAATTGAGCTACTTGGTTGACATATTCGAGAAACTCAATATTTTGAACATTCAGCTTCACGGAGTCAATACACATATATTAAATTCGGGTGATAAAGTTATTGGTTTTTGTAAAAAATTGGAATTGTGGAACAGAAATTTAAAGCAAAAAAAACCTAGAAATGTTTGCCAATGTGGATCAAAGTATTAAAAATTACAAGGTTGAAGAACAACGTGTGAAAGTTGTTTTTGTAATCACTGAAAATCATTTAGCGATGCTGACTAAAAATTTTAAAAGGTATTTATTTGCCGACGCCATATTAATACGTAGTTACGAGTGGGTTAGGAATCCATTCCAAATTACTCCGAAAGGGCTCTCTACTGCCGAAGAAGAAACCTTCATTGACTTCACGGCAAATGATGAAATCAAGAAACAGTTTAATAATAAATCCCTCTTTGAATTTTGGGCAGGAGTAAATAATGAGTTTTCTGCACTGAAAACCAGAGCGTTCCGTATACTATTGCCGTTTTCAACATCCTACCTTTGCGAAACAGGATTTTCTGCGCTTTGAAGACCAAATATAGATCGCAGCTAAATATAGAAAAAGAACTGAGAACGTCTATTTCTAATATTACACCTCGTTCCGATAAACTTTGCTCTACACAACAAGCTCAAGGAAGTCACTGATTTATTATTAAACTTTTTCATAATTTAGTGTTCAGTGCTCTTTATAATTATACCTTTTATACCAGTGTTCATGTGTTTGTTATTTTTTATTTTGTAAGAATTTTGTTTTGGTTTGATTTTAGTAAATTAGTCAATGTTGCTGATGTTTTTTCGAATAGGCTCACGCCCCCCATTAATAATACCGCGCCCCGCTAGGGAGGCGCACCCCACAGGTTGAGAATCGCTGAGAATTACCAAGGGCCAAACGTAAGCATGAAGAGGCATGTTTGCCAGTTAGCCGATTACGATATTTTTATTTCACGATCTTTATTTGGGAAAATGCATATTTACACAAGTATGTTAATCTAAAGAATGCTGTGAGCTACAGAGCTACTTGTCTCAAGAACAGGTATTTCTCAGACGATATGAGAGACCAAAATTTCATATTGGTTGCTCTGGATTTAAGTTGTATATCCGAAATTATTTGCAGTATTTACAGTACAATATCTGTCAGTTTTTTTTTAAATCAGCTAAGCGTCTTTTAACCTCGCTGTGAAGTTCTTGCAACTCCGTCTCGTAATACACATAATTAAAATTAGAGGCTACCCTTTTTTCAACGTTGAAAAGTTGTATAAATCCTTTCTGCTAATTTGCTTATTCAAAAATTTCAATTTGTTGATAAAAGAATGCATTGCGCTTATTATATCGATAATTGTTTTATTTTCCCTTTGTAGTTTAAAATTACGGACGTTTAAATGATTTGCTAAATCTGTTAGGAGAGCCGGATCACTAAGCCATTTTTCGTTTTGAAGTAGATGAGTGTAATCCCTTTGGTTTTCTAAAAAAGAAATTGTTTTGGGAAGTAGCTCCTAGAAACTATCTAAAATCTTTTACTGCTCAACCACCTCAAATCTGTATGCAGAAGTAAATCAGTGTGTTCCGCAGAGTCGTTAGCTTCCAATTGCGCTTTAAAAAGTCGTCGTTGTAATCTTCGCGCTCTGATTGAATTCACATTGTGTTGGCATCTTTATAATGTCGTCCATATTTAAAATTTTGGAACACAAAACTTGCTGGTGAATAATGCAATAAACGGTGAACAATCATCGTTAGCTCGACATAATGCAACAAATCCATTGTTAACGCCAGTCATGGATGATGCACCATGTGTTGTTATACACACGAGTTTGTAAATCGGTAACTTATAAAAACGTTGTATACATCTTCTTTCGTAGTCCGCATTGTTAGCAATTCTTATTAAGCTAACATGTCAGAAAATATCAACCAAATGAAAATACACAACTGGGCAGTATCAGTCATATCTATTGACTCGTCAAATTGCAAAGAAAAGTACATATAATATCACTTTCAACTTGGCTTTCCAAATCTTTGCCCATGATTTCTATACCTCTAGTAACCATTGGACTTGATAACTGGACTCCCTGGATGGCAGACATAATATCTGTTTTATTTTTGAAGTCCTCAAATAATACATTCGCAACCTCAATGAATGCTTTCTTTACTATCTCTTCATCTTCAAAAGGTATTTTATGTTGTGTTTATATATAAGAATATTCATATCGAGTTTTAACTACTAATGTAAATAATATATTACTAAAATGTTTTACTAGTAATAACTTATTAATGAATGATTAATGCTTGACTAACAGTAATATATGCAATGCCGATACAGCACACTCCTAGCTTAATTTATCCGTGAATGCTGATATGCCGAATCGGCATTATCGCAACTTTCGGGTGAAGAGATAGCATCATAATTATTTCGATCATTCACGTGTGGTGAGTCAGGACAGTCCCCGTATTTTCTCCGTAAATCGCGATTGACTTCAAAAACTTTGGCAATCGACCAGTTGATCGTAATCGATCCTTTGAGCACCGTTGCTCTAGACTTCAGAGCATTTAATGTTGCTTAGCTATTTAAGGTAAAACATATTTTAGTTAACTGTTACCTCTTTCGGTGGGAGTTTCCTCTTCTGTTGAAAAAATTTAGTGACTTTAAAACACAAGTAAATATAGTTTATTAGCACGATTTTATGCATCATGAATTTGTAAATAAATTAACATAAAGTGAAAAAAAAAGGAAAAGACACTTAAGATTTGATTTTACGTATAGTGCGTCTATGTATCCCATTATACATATTTCGGCCAAATAGGCCTCATCAGAACGGCAATTCATAGTCGCTCTCTCTGAACGTGAAAATAAATCTCCTCTGTCTTAGGAAGCAACTCTAATATGGCTTCGAATGGACGCAAATAGCGGCATCTGATATTAAAATCCGTAAACTAATTTTCGAAACCAAATTCAAATTTTCACTAGTTAACATCATTTATGCCTGGTTGCACCAACAGATCTTAAGTTCCAGCTTAGCCGAGCTCCGCTTATAGCTAGGGCCACCTTAACTCTCAATTACGTTGCACCATCATTTTCGATTCTTATCTAAGCACGTCTTAACTGGCATGTATCTTGTCAATGATTGAGTGACTAAAAGAGTTTTAAATGACTCAATGGTGCAACGCGTATTTTTTGTAAGCTGTGCTTAAGGAAAGGCTTAAGCTTAAGATATTTTGGTGCAACCAGGCATTAGTCTGGTATAAATTGAAGATTTAGCAGAATATATTAATAACGCTATAACTTGTTAGCTAGGAAATAAACATATATTTAAAAACATAAATTACCATTAAAAAATTATCTTTTTATTATCTTTTGTTTTTTTTTTATAATTTGTGGAAATTGTTTTATTTTATTATTTTAGCTATTGTTGATCTTCTTGGGCAGCCCTACCAACAGGAACTGGCTTCAGAAGTTGGAATTGACTTAGCTTTAATAGAGCTCGAGGAACTAAAAATAAGTGAGTATATTTATTTGTTAATTCATTTATTATAAATAATACTAGTAATTATTACAATGATTTGTTTTATTTTCTTTAAAACGTTGGTTTCTCCGCATCCAAAGACTTCAAAGAAATAGGTGTATGTTACTATGTATTCTGACATTAGATGTTTATTTTGAAATTATTTAAATTTTGTAACAAATATTTTCTCCGGATTTCATTTAAGTTGATAGACTTAGCTACTACAGTAACAATACCATAGTATTTATTACCTTATTATTTAAGGAACGAAATAGAAATATATGCGAAAAATATTAACCCCTTCGCTACCAGGCTTAAAGATGAGTTGCACCGTATTTAGATTTAGCGAAAAATAAAACTTTTTAAAACATTTTTTTGGGTGGTTTGTTTAACCCTCTTATGTATCAATTTTTGTTGGAACTGAAAAACTCAGAAAAGTTAGATTTTGCACTTACGAACACAAATATTAAAGGCAAAAATTGATATTACTGCCAGGTGTACCTCTAAAAAGAAAAAACAGACATCTGCCTTTGTTTTTTGAATTATCAAACTAAGCAAATAAAAACATATTGAAATTATTGTTTATTATGAAAATTGTAAAAACAAGTTTTTGTGGTTGAAGTAGATAGAGATAAATTGCATTTTTGAGATTAGCAATCTCAAAAATAAAAATAGCTGTAATGATTACCAACCTCCTTAGAGGAGACGGTATCTAAAGAAGAAGAAATTGCATTTTATACAATGTGCTTGAGTTTTGGGATGTAAATTTTAAAAATTTGCACTGTTTTTACCAGTACGATCCCAATATACACACTATTATCCTATTTGATAGAAACAGATGGGCTTCGTCGGAACATATGCTCTTTTTGGTGCTTTTGCAGTGGTTTTAGGTGAACAACTAAGAGGTAGGCCAACAGGTCGTTTGACTGGAGCTATGGCATACAAGCAGAGCGATTTAGCTACTTGCGTTCTGAACACTGCCAACTCAATTTTTTCTTTTTGGGGACTGTATCATTTTTGGATGCAAATGGTTTTACGTTAACATAAGTCGACAAAAGCCGTACATATTTTGTTCCGTTTCACAATACAGAAGTAATATCTATACCATATGCATTACTAATAAATTCTTCTGAATAGCCACAGACAATTTTCTGCTGTTGCATATCTCGTCGGTCGATAATTTGCAATTGAGTACTCTGTTCCTTCTCACTGTTCACAAGCTGTATATTCCCCTACTTCGGAGATAAGTAAAAAGCCCTAAGACTTAAAGAAATTGTCAAAGTATAAAATGTGATTTACGTAATTTGAAATGTGCTTTTATAAGCGAACCACAACATTCGAGGCAGCCCCAAGATCTGAAGTGTCCTTTAAGATTGTGTTGTCTTCTGCACCAATGTAAATTTCTAATGAATACGAAAATCCAGAAGTGACACATATTTTGTCGGAGGTCACTTCCAGTGATCTTTTTAGAACACATTTGTTTATGTACGCACAACCTAGAAGGCATACGGACTAATAAAACCTGTCATTTATATGTTTCACTAGCGAACTTTATGCAGAGGGTCGTATCCAGGCTTACCCCTTTCCACAGCTACTGAGATGTGTATGGATTCAAACTGAAGCAAAGGCATAGTCTGACGAATTGGCTCAAAAGAGTGTTTTCCCCAATATGATCGGACATTCGGATAGCGATTAATAGACATACACATATGAAAGACTGCCAACTAATTTTCGAATATCGTCGGACTGGATGCTGAATTTTGTTTGTATATTATTTTCCGAGTGTACAAGTTTGTTTGCTTCACTAGATGATTAACCATTGTGTCGTCAAGAAAATAAACAAAACATTCGTATGGAGTGACTAATTTCTTAATTTTTTTCTGGATACTGTTTTTGGCCTCTAAATAACTCATTAACTCCGTTAACTCTGGCGTTCGAGGACGTTTCTGTCACCGAAAAGGTTGTGAGGCTCCTTGCACTGAAATTTCCTTAGATACACTTGGTGCTTGCGACACCTCTGATACCTCTAGTTGATCTGTATTGGATTGCTCTTGTATTATCTGGGCAACTGTTGAAGTTGTACTATCCGTTTTCATTTCATCAGCGCTTAAATCAGCAGCATCCTTAGCAACAGGATCAGCCAAACTACCGTTACCATCAGAATAATAGTCACTCTCAACATCTGTTGCTTCGGCGTCAGCATTATAAGCAGGTATATGATCCAACATCTCGCAGATTTCTGCATCAGTTATTTCAAATAGTCTGAAACCCCATTGTGCCATACCTGAAAAGAAAAATGTACTGTTCCACATCTCACAAAGCTTTAGTAATACATACTACTAAGGGATATTCCATATAAAACAAAAATTATAAATAAATATAAAATGCCTGCCTTTTATTACAACTGTTAAAATTTGTTACCGAGTAGTTTGGATGCGATTTCATATTTTTTGTGTTAGTTTTATACATTTTTATACAAAAGCTAATTATTCTGTGGCGTAAAAATGAGAAATAAAACAAAAAATAAACAAAAACAAAAAGTTTTCAAATGTCTTATAAAGGCAAAAAATAAACAAATTTTGTAATACAAATATTAAGATTTATAACAAAAAAATCTTATAATGTTCTAACAAAATCTAACAATCAGAACTCATTGTGCAAATATTTGATATTTGTTTCCTTTTCTTCTCATTTGCGTCACAGACTTTACAACTTTCTCTTCCTTTCTTTTCTCTTTTCTCTTTTCTCTTTCTTCTTATTCCTTCTTATTTTGACTGAGAAAGCATAACGTGCTTACGAGATTTTTCTTTAGCCACAATTTGTTCTTAAAATCCACTAAACTAATTTGTTTGTTATGCGCAATTGTATAAAACGTTTTTGCATTTAGTACCATGCGTTGGATAATATGAAAACCAACTTTTTTTAATCACGTGTAACTTTTTCTAGTAATAGCTCAGTATCTTGATCTATAGCATCCTTCCATATTTCGGTTGTAGTGTTTAACTAGCTCACATTTTTGGACTGGTATATTCATGCTGGTTTTAACTTGATAACTTTCTTTTTTGATCAATCCTTCTGTAAATTTTGTAAATTTTTCTCAACCATAGCAAAAGTTGAATAAGACGCTGTCCTAATTTCCAGAAATCGTTCCATGTATGAGTCTTGATACACTCAACATAAATTAACAACATGTCTATTATGTACTTATTCAATATTTATTAGGTATGACTAAGAAAGTCATTTTCACTACTGCTTAAACTCATGATATTTCAAAATTCTCTTTTAAAACTACAACGAACGTATTAGTGAGCGAACAAAAGAAATTGCATTAGCTGTTACTATTAATTTGTAGTTGTCAAAAAGCGATTAAAAAAATCTCCAGGACAACTTGCTTTTATTACTTCTTCTTCTTCTGCCTTCTAGTATGTAAGCTATAAAGCCTGTGTCTTCTTCAATATTAGCCTCCTTAATTGTCGCACCATCTTTTTCTTGGTCTGCCAATACTTCTTCGTCCATTTGGTGACTTATCTCATGTTATTCGTACTATTCTATCCTCTGCCATTCTACTGATATGTTCGTTCCACTCCTGTTTTCGTTTTATCACCCATCCATTTATGTCTTCTATATTGCATGCTCTTCTTATGTTTTCGCTTCTCTCCCTATCCAATAGACTTTTCCCTGATATTCGTCGGAGTATTTTCATCTCTGTTGTTTCTAGCAGTCGTCTCGTTTTAGATGTGTCAGGTCTTGTCTCCGCCGTGTATGGTAATATAGGTCTAATTGCTGCTTTATAGATTCTTGTTTTTTGTCTTGTCTTAGGTGTTTGTTCTTATAGATTGTGTCCTTAAGAGAACCCGCCGTTTTACTTGCATTTAAGCTTTGTTGTCGTACTTCTTCTTCAATATCTTCGTAACTAGTTACATCTATTTCCAAATATCTAAACCTTGCTTCCTGCTTTATTATTTTTCCATCAACTTCGATTTACACCGTAGTGTGTATTTAAATGTTATCATACATTTGATTTTGTCTGCCGATATTATCATTTGTATTTCTTAGCCGTTGTATTAAAGATATGTGTTAACCTTTGGAGCTCGTCTTCCGTCTTGGCGATTAATGCAGCGTCGTCAGCATAGCATAATATTTGGATTTCTTTGTTTCCCACTCTGTAGCCAGGACCTTTACGTACTGCTTGTATTATTTCGTCCATTATTATATTAAAGAGAAGTGGGCTTAACGAGTCACCCTGTCTGACTCGTATGTTTTGTACTGGTATACACTGTGTTAGTTTTTCATTTATCTTTGCCTGTATTCGATTTTGGAGGTAGATATTTACGATGGTTTGTATAATATTGATTGATATATTTCTTTTATATAGTAGGTGTAAGACGTGTTCGACTTGGATGCGATCGAAAGCCTTTGTCAGGTCTATAAAACATAGATATGCTGGTTTATTGATTTGTCTTAGTACAAATACGGCGTCTACGCAGGATCTTCCGGATCTTAATTCTTGTTGTTTATCTGGTAAAGTTGTTAGCTAATTGATTTTATTGGTTAGGATTTTTGTGGTAAGCTTAAGTGCCGTGTTCAGTAGATTTATACTTCTATAATTGTTGGGGTCTTCTTTATCTCCTTTCTTGAACATTGGTATTAATATACTGTTTCGCCATGAGTCTGGTATCTTGCAGTGCAATATTAGTTTTTGTATAAGTTGCTATTACTAATTTGTAAAATCTATAAAAATATGCTAGTTTAAGGTTAATTTGAAAGTAAAAATGTATGATTATATTAAAAGTTTAGCATATTCATCAAACTTTATTGTGGTACACGGTTAAATTCGGAATAAAAAAGCTATTCGTTTGATCAAACCTTCACCCCCATGATTAATATAATTTTTTCATTCTTATGACATCACAACATCATCACGAGATTTTGTGTATACTTTAATCGATAGAGGTCCAATTATCATCTCCCAATTTTTAAATAAGATTTAAATAACTTTTTGATTTCTATGCTGTTAAAACGTATTGTAATATCTTTTAGAGAAGAGAAACGATGGATGTCGTACAGAACTCTAAAAGGAGTTAACCACAAGCAATGCAATAAAAACTAACAGAATAGAGTGTCACAGGTATTAAAAACAACAGTCGACCTAGATCTTCTTCTTGTTACGGTGCCTATCTGTTCCGGATGTTTGCGATCGACATAGCTATCCGAACTTTACTTTCACCTATTCGGAATAGTCCGGTTGTAGACGGATTGAACCACTACCTTAAGTTTTAAAGCCAAGATATTCATCTTTTTCTTGGTCCTCTCTTTCCAAATAGCTTGCCCTGAATAATAATTTCAATAAGCCATATATGTGTTCATTTCTCATATTATGGCCAAGAGATTCTAATTTGCTCTCTTCGCTTGTGATAGTGATCTTGCATTCCTTGCGAATTCTCCGTAGGACGTTAATAAATCTAAAAAATTAAGTATACCAAGCCATGTTAAAACTCGCTTTTAGACGTGAAAAATGGAAAAATAGTAGCGGACGGAATTCAATGAAAACCAAATTATTTTCTTTAAATAATAATTTCCTGATTTAAAACCCAGCTTTAATTTAAGCTCATTTTTAATTTATCATATTGTTTAAGGTTCTTATAAAGTTACATCTTTGGTGTCTGCTCTACTGGAAGATTGTGCTGCAGCAAAGATTGCAGGAGTTATGCTACAAGAGAAGTTGAATGAGATTTCCCTAGAGTTGACCATAGCAAGACAGCAATGCGATTTAAGAGATAGGACTTTGTGCTATACATTGCAGCATTCTGGCTTTGAAGTTTCATTTTCTATGGATAATGTAAGTATTTTGCACTAGATACTAAAAAATACTTACAAATTAATATAATAATCAATAACTAATAAAGAAAAAAAGAAAAATTCAAAAAACTTCAAAATTTTTAAATATTCTATAATGTTCTCTAAAAACTCAACTTACTTATTTTTCTGATAACTTATTTTATTTCTAATAATTTATTAATATTAAAAATTAATATTATATTAAAAATAAAATATAAATAGATCAAAAATTATAAAATAATTTGTTTCCTACCGACATATTTCAAAAAAAATAATATCAATGATTTTAGTAGGTGAAAATAGTTTAGGGCTTGTAATAAACTACTTAAAATATGTTATCTTACTTATCGCGTTTTTTAATTTTTGTACGATTATCTTGTATAATTTAAAAATGGCGGCTACTGAATTGTAAAAATTATATAAAATTAACTTCTAAGAAAAACCTAGCTCCTATAGATAGGAGCGTTCTAATTGATAAAAGAGCTTTCAAATAATGTGTAAATTGTCATATATTATTATTTAAAAAATTTCACGGGCTAAAACCTTGCAAAACTTCTTCTCTTTACATTATTACTTGGCAAGTTGATGTACGTTGAATCGTTTCGACGTTACAAGCTTAGTGTTCTTTTGAAAATACGCCGCTCGTTTTTTTTTCTGTTTCCAATTTTTCCTTGGCCCTTTACATTGATACCTTGTATGTTGTTGTACGTTTAGCCATTTAAACGTTACAAGCCTAGTGTCCTTTTGGCAATACGCTGCCATGTTTTTTTCTATCTCAACGTGTTCGATGGCACGTCCCCTTTCCAGTGATATCTTGCATGTTATTGTACGTTGAACCATTTAGCCGTGACAAGCTTAGTGTCCTTTTGACAATACATCACCATGTTTTGTTCCATCTCAACGTGTTCCCCGTTCTCTTCCCTTTCCGACAATACCACACACGTCACGATGGGACGAGGCGTCGCGCCTCCACCACAAAAAGCGTTAAAAAAACGACCAGCAAGGACCATAAATTTTTTTTTAATTTTCCCAGAATCTGGGGAGAGATTAATTTTTTATCTCACTCTACCACGTAGGTTCTTATGGGAGGCGCTGTTGCCAGATATTGTGAAATGTCCAATTTTTTCATAGATCTGGGAAAATTTTATTTTTGTGGCCCCAAACAAGTGCTGCCCTTTTAAGTACACTCACTTTGTAAAAAACCGAAAACGATCACTGATCTCGAAGGCCTTAGAGGTATTTTTTATGTCAGCCAGTAAATCCTACTCTCATATCACCAAAGAATAATCCATTAAATAGTGCCAAAGATAGCTGCTTTTCAAAAATTTATATACTTTGCATTAGGTGTTTATTAGTAACATTATTTGTAATAGAACTTCAATTGTAACTTTTTAAAAGAGAAAAAAAAAAGGACGGATATACATATGTACCCAAATTAGTATACTTGGCACTACAGCATCTTAATAAATAATATAACATAAAAACACTTTTAAATTAATCTGTCTCAATACAAAGTTAATATTACACGTTTCACAACTCCATCTCACTTTTTGATGGAGCTCTGATGCTGAACAAATTAATTGTTATAAATTGTGTGTAATGATCAATAACAATAGTATGATATATAAACATTAAGTATGTAAATTGTTATATTTTAAATATATATACAAATTATTTCCACCCCTCTGTGGCTCAGTGGTAAGAGCGCCTACCTTTAAACCTAAAGGTCGGGACTTCGAATCTCATCCGGGTGGAGAAATTTTCGTTTATTAAAAATTAATAAATAAAAATAATTTCTATCTTTGTGCGATCGGTACTCACCGGAGGGACCGCAGACGTTCGAATACGATTAGCGTCTCTTAGCAAAGACAATGACGTCGACTTTGCTAAGTATCAAGACAATTACTCTACACACATACACAGACTACACTAGATACCTGACTGTACCATGCCAATGATTTTAGTTGTCGAGGCAATAACTCAATAATAATAAATTATTTCCATAATTTTTATTTATAATAATTAATTTGTGTAAAATAAATTTGTGATGTTTTTGAGCAAAAGTAATTGTAAAATCAACAAGAATAAATTTATGAAAAATTAACACGTATATATTTGATTTTAAAATAAACATAAAATTTTTGTAAAAATTATTGTTAAATGATATTATATATAACTAATTCTTTGATTTACTTATTAGTTCATAACCTTTTCTGCTTATAATAATAAGAGAAAAGCAAAATTTAGAAAATAAATATGTACTGTACTTTGTTTAACAAATGACTCAATGGTTAAAATAAGCAATACACAAATTAATTAAATGCAGTTTTGTTATCTACGCCACAAGGTGCCAAAAAATATATTTCTTTGATTAGAACCGGATATATTGCGACTTTTATAAATTTGAATTCATGAATTCAGTTTTTGAAATTGTAAAATCGCTTTGCTTTTAAAGTTTGCCATTTATCTTTGACGTATCATGAACAAGTAATTTTAAAAGGAATCGTTTTTAAATTTTTATCTGTTTTAACCTGAACTTTTTATCCTTCAAATGGGTCTATTTAAATTGCTTACAACAAAAGCCCTGGTGAATTTTTGGGAAGAAGGGACTACTCGAGTTTTAATGTCGTAGGATATTATGTTTTTGGTTTTGGAATGCGTATAAAAATGCCACAATAACGATTACTAAAACAAACTTCCCACATGCTATTGTGTCTGAGGGATTTTAATTGGTTATAAGCTTAAAATCACAGTACTGTTGCAAATCTATTGTACCATCATCATTATCATTATTGGTGCTGCATCCCTATAAAAGAGCCTCGACCTTCCTAAGTCTATTACGCCAGGCAGTTCTATCCGTTGCCAACTGTTGCCAGTTTGTTGCGCCTATTTTTCTACCATCCTCATCTACACCATCCCTCCATCTGAGTTTTGGCGTACCCCTACTTCTACTTTCCATAGGTTGTAACATAAGGATTCTTCTAGGAGAGTTGTTTTAATGTGATCTTGCCAGATGTCCTGCCTATCTTAGTCTTCGCATTTTTATAAGAGATACTACGTCTTTACCACCAAATATATATTTATATCTGTGATATATCTTGTAGTTGTACCTCCTTCTCCAAACACCATTTTTAAAGATACCACCCAATATTCTTCTGAGGATCCTTCGTTCAAATATAAGCAGTAGGTTTTCATCTGCCTTGGAAATGGTCCATGTCTTCGATCCATATGTCAACACTGGTTGTATAAGGGTTTTCTATATGGTTATTTTTATTTTTTGGCTTAAGTTTCTGCTTCTCATATGTCTACCCAATCCAAAATAAAATTTGTTTGCTAGGATTATTCTTCGCTTGATTTCTTTCGTCATGACGGGAGCCTAAGTGAATTTGTCCACCACTTCAAAGGTAGAGTTATCAACAGTAAATTGGTAGCCAATGTTCCTGGCTCTATTTTTGGGCGTTGATACGATTATCTTAGTTTTCTCCTCATTTACTTGCAGGTCCATATTTTTTAAGGCATTTGACAAAGTGGTATACATTTCTTCTAGTTTGCGTGTTGTGCGGGCAACTAGGTCAACATCGTCTGAATATGCCAAAATTTGGGATGATTTATTCAAAATATCTCGTCTGTTGTCTATTTGAACATCAATGACCGCCTTTTCCAGAGCTACGTTGAAAAGGAGACACGCCAGTGCATCTCTCCGTCGCAGCCTAACATGCGTTTTAAATATCTGTGATTGTTCGCCCTATATTTCGACTTTGCAAACAACTTTACGCAGTGTAGCCTTAACCAATCTTATCAGTTTATCAGAGGTGTGGAATTTATCCATGGCTTTATACAATTTATTTCTTAGGACACTTTCCTAGGCTCATTTAAAATCTACGAAAAGATTGTGTGTGTCGATATTGAATTCATTAGTGTTTTTCAGTATCCGCCTTAGCACAAAGATCTGGTCTGTTGTTGATCTATGAGGCCTAAAACCACTTTGATATTCGTCAAGAAGCTATTCCGAATATACACTCGAAGATGCGACTATATAAGATACTCGAAAATATTTTGTATGTTGTATTAAGGAGGGTTATTCCCTTATAGTTTCTACGTTCCAATTGATCACCCTTTTTGTGCAGCGGGCAAACGATCCCAATACACCACTCTTCCGGTATTTGTTCCTCATTCCATGCTCTCTCTTCTTATTTTACCATATTTAACATAAATTTTTAATTCATCACATAATTTAATTTAATAAAATAAGGCTTTCAATTTAATCTGGCTATGTAGTTAATGTAGCTAATAAATTTATATAGGCTTACTAGTTAAAGCATAATAGTGTTGCAGATAAAAGCTTTCTGGGATGAACAATTTCAATTTTGCAATAATTTTATTTATTATTCTCCCATTTCTTTTTTAGAAGCTGTCTTAGCGTAAATAGTTGATCTATTGTTGATCTGTTTGCCCTAAACATGGCGAATATCAAGCCGGTTTTAGGGCAAACAGATCAACAATAGATCAACTATTCACGCTGAGACAACTTCTAGAAAAGGGATGGGAGTATAACAGACCCATACACAATCTGTTCATAGACTTTAGACAGGCATATGATAGCACAAAAAGAAGCCAGGTATGGAATGCCATGGCGGAGTTTTCAATACCAAAGGAATTCATTCGGATGACCAAAGTCTGTATGGAGGGTGGAATATCTAAAGTACGTGTAAATAATAAACTGTCTGGCAGCTTTGAAATCAACAGCGGACTTAAACAGGGCGATGCGTTATCTCCATTACTTTTTAATCTTGTATTAAAGAAATAAAAACAGAATTGCTATCGGTTCAAGGTCCCAAGCTGTTACTCGCATATGCAGATGACGTAGATGTCATTGGAGACTCCATCCTATCCACGAAAGACATTTTTAGCAAGGTGGAAGGAGCAACAAGTGAAGTAGGGCTGAAGATTAATGAAGAGAAGACAAAATATATGTGTATAAATAGAACGACACGAAGAGAC